GCAAGAGCCCGCGTGCCACATCCGCAAAAACTACATTTTCCTTGTGATTCAATTGACGAGTATCGCTTCGCCAGAATCTAGATTTGGTAATGGAGACAGCAGGATAGGCTTACTTATTCAGTGGCTTTTACCGGCAGCACCCTGTCTTCACCATTGTATGATGCGTAACGTGGAAGTTAGCGACGAGATCTCCGTCTTCAAGCTGCTGAATGGGTTTCGGGGCTCTGTCAGGATACTCCTTATCGTGCCAACAAGAAAACTTAATCACACCAGGAAGAAGCTACCAGGCCTACGAGGTATCAGATGTAGCAGTTCACCCATAATTCCTGGAGCCCTACTTTATTTCATGCCCACCCATAGTTGACACACAGCTGCGGCTTCACCTGCCAACCCTAGTAGACCTTGTTTTGTCATTTCTGCATTGAGCCCGGCTTTCCTTGCTCCGCGGTCAAGACTCCGTTTTCGTCCATGCTTGTCCAGAAACACCAAGCGCCACCCACATGGTGATGCCGGTATCCAGGGAGGTAGCTTCACTGGCTACTACCCAAAGGATATATCATGCTCGGGCTTCCCTTATAATGCTGATTCTGTGAAAGCTGAACCTGGTACCTCTGTCACAGGCTTGGATGACTGGAATCTTTACCTTACTCCTGAAGAACACCTCCACCCTTGTATTGAAAACTACGCAGCACATGTCCATAAGAAGATCATGAAGTTCTCCACGGTACTTACCGGCGCTGTGATCGCGTCCGTAACTTCAGGACACACCATATTTGTGCAACTTGAAGCCAGTGGCAAGACCTATGGTCAGTATCTTCAAGAGCCTGATGTTGCGACCTGGCTGACCAATCCAGATGTGTCCTATGCTATCAGAACACCAACATATGACGGTGTAAGAACACTGTATTTATAAGCAATGACCATGGTTTCTAATTCTGCTATAGCCTCAAACGGACGTGAGCTCCAACAATCTAGCGTGCAATGGTCCACCCAACCCCACCACGCCGTCCAGCAAGATCATCCAGGTCACAGCGGGATCCAATCTCACGGCCATCTGGAGGCACACACTGACGTGTAAGGATTCTTCAAGTAGAAATATTGGAGAGTATGTAGCTGACATAGAAGTAGCCGGTCCTGGTGACGTGATGGATGCTAGTCACAAGGGACCAACTCTGGCATACATGAAAAAGGTAACAGATGCTACAAAGGACTCTGGTGTTGGCAATGGATGGTAAGGACCCCTTTCTCCATTACTTGCTCTGTTCTAACTTCTTCAGGTTCAAGGTGCAGAACGAAGGGTTTGTCAATGGAGTTTGGGGAACCGAGACGGTCATTAAGAACCAGGGCAAGCAAGTCATTCACATCCCAGAGTGTATCGCGAACGGGCAGTACCTTCTCCGTCCTGAGATGATCGCTCTACATGGAGCCAGGACTGCTGGCGGTGCTCAGCTATATGTAAGTCTTTTCTTCCTGGAGACCGACGACATCGTCTAACGACAGCACTAGATGGAATGTGCTCAGATTGAGGTCACTGGTGGGACTGGAGCGAAGACTCCCCAGACTTATAGCATCCCAGGCATCTATAAGGTGAGGCAGCTCAGAGATTCTGTTGCACAAATACTCACATGGTTCAAGGCAAATGACCCAGGTATCACGATAGATATCTACAACAGCAAGGGCCCATACGTCATTCCCGGTACGTGACACACCCAGGCTATACATTGTCACCAACTAATAGTACCAGGGCCCTCTCCTTTCACCTGCTAAGAGCAGAGATAGAAGCGGATGGTTGGGGAAGCAAAGAATTGTTGATAAGCCGAGAGACAATTAGTGCTTCGGATTGCATCGAGGAGTGAGATCAGTGGAAGTGCCAAAGCATCCTAGAATGGATCGTGCAGAGACCATTCGAGAATGTCAAATAGCAGCACTTAGTCATGCAGTTACTGGCATTTAATCCTAGGCTTCATGTCAACAAAGTTGGCTTGCCCCACAGACCTTGAACAAAGGTGCCGGTTTGGTAGGCGTAACCCGGTAGAGTGTCAAAAATGCTACCATATTCTGGGGTAAATGGTATTTAAAATGCTTGGCATGCCACATTATATTGAAATAGATGCCTTAAATTTTGAGGATTACTGGCGTACTCATTGAGGCTACGTAGAAGCGTTCGCAACAGGAAGAACACGGAGTGGGATGTTGCGAGACTTGAGCCAAACTGGGAAAGGCCGGTGGTACCATTCAATCTGATAAAGCTAAAGACATAACCATATCAAAATATTGTAGGAATAGTATTCAACTAGCAAGAGCGCAATATCCTCTTGTTCTCGTTGCACGGGAAATGTTGACAGAAGGCTGTCACGCCAACGTCTTCCGAGCCGACATGGTAGTAGGGGGCGGCTCGATATTAGAACCCCACAGAATGCGCGCATGACAATTCTCCTGGTTGTCCTTCCCTCCGCCATCAAGATGAGCAGCCAGCTCCACGCCAGTACGGTCAACAGAAACGCCCCACACATAGCAATACAGAGACGGCTCTATCATTCTATGCAGCGTTGCACATGTGCCGCGCGTGGCAGACAGTCGTCATTACACCCCAGATTGGAGCTCCGGGCCGTTTCATATACAGAAAGAAAGACCGCATGCCTACTACCGGCACTTATGGGTTAATGCTTACCGATCTCTCTCTGGACTTGAAGCTTGAGTCTTGATAAGATATTGGCTGATGGCCCCATGGCTGAGGAACGCTTATATCCACACCTTGCCCTCCACACGAACAATTGACCTTTGGCTTGACATCAACATATTTGTATCTATTACCATTCATTCTTGCACACAGCTCCATTGACCAAGACTGATTCATATCTCAGCATGAGGGCCACATTCAGCACTGCGGTGGTGCTATCACTCGCTGTCACTGATGTCGCTGCCCATTATATCTTCAATCAATTTGCCACTAGCAGTTCCACATTCAAAGTATATGAGCACATCCGCCAGAACTCAAACTACAATTCTCCTGTAACAAGTGAGTTAAATGATTAGCCGAGGCGTCTTGCGCAACGTCCTGGAGAACAAAGACTAACTGATATCTAGGCTTGACCTCTAACGACCTACGATGCAATGCTGGAGGAGAAACTGGCTCTAACACTACTACTGTTGACATTAAAGCTGGTGATGCCTTCACTTTCAGCCTGGATCAGGCTGTATACCATCAGGGTCCAGTCTCTCTTTTCATGTCGAAGGCACCTGGTAAAGCAGTTGATTACGATGGGAGCGGCAATTGGTTTAAGGTTCACGACTGGCTTCCCAGCTTTGGGTCTGGCAGCGTAACGTGGCCGAGTAAGTGTCCCCGTCCCTCAAGCTATCTGAACATTTTCTGAGCATAACAGTGTACAAGCAATACACGTACAACATCCCCAAATGCCTACAAAGCGGCGAATACCTGCTCAGGATTCAGAGTCTCGGAATTCACAATCCCGGAGGCACTCCGCAATTCTACATCAGCTGCGCTCAGATTAATCTGAGTGGTGGTGGAAGCACCTTGCCGAGCACTGGAGGAAAGATTCCAGGCCTTTTCAAGGCGACAGATCCCGGCTATACTGTCAACATCTACCAGCCTGATTTCAAGAGCTATACCGCACCTGGTGGAGATGCATTCTCGTGCTAAGGGGTCCATATTCAAGAGACAATGTTTTGAAAGGACGATATTATGGGACACCAGAAGGATATATCAAGTGATGTCAATTCACGGGATGGCTTCATGTTTTATAATTAGATTTGTATTTCAACGTGATGATAACGTAAACGTGTTTCATCCCTTTCTCGGTGAATGGGATAAGCTTTCATTGACGGCATTGTTCAAACGGCCATGTGCCAGATCAAAGGGTATTCATGACATCAAATGATCCGCCCACCCTGTTCATGAATAGCAAATCATTCATGCCGTGTTATAGGCGACACGGCACAGCTTTCCTCTACTGGGAGCGGAAATCGAGCGCTAAGTTCGTTCACACACGTCACTATGGTAAGACAGCGCCATACGGCCATATACATTTACTACAAGCAGGCGGGAAAGGGGTGAGATTCGGAGTGCGAGATAAGCTGTTTCTATGAGTATCGATCCCGGTTCA